ATCTGGCTTGAAACTGCTGGACTACACCTGGATTTACGTTGTGTGATTTTCTTTGCCTCCTCTACTTTCCAGCCTATTTCCCTAATAAACTAAAAAACTGAGTAAAGTCTGTGGGTCAGCAATGAATTTGGACCTAATGATTCAGAGAAGTAGGTGCAGGAGCATGGAGGGCAGCATGTCTGACCGAGCAGCTTCATGTTTGCTGCTGTGGATATTATGGATGGAGACTGTTCCCTTTTATGCAGCTGGTAGAAGTCAGACTCGTTCACTCCACGTTGTAGCTGCTTCTTACACAAGGTAGTAGAAATCTACTTGGAAAAGTAGGTCAGCAAAATAGAGAAAGATGCCCAAGAACGTGGATTGACAGTGATTACAACCAAAGACTTAAGGTGGTGAAGATGATGTGGCTCGTGGTCAGGCAAGATTTGTTCACAGGGTCAATACAAGTTGTAGTAGACTCGGTGGCATCTAACAATGACAACAACAGAAACTTGACTGACTCCTTATAGCCAGTCATGCTGTGTCACATCGATTCTGACTTCGAACGGAGCTGTGGGGTGGACTCAAACGGCCCCATATATTTAGCAAGACCATAATATTGTCGAAGCAGACTGCCACATCTCTCCTACGAGAAGGCTGGGTCAAACGGCTAACCTTTTGACTTGAAGTTGAGCAGTTCAGTCACTGTTTCTCCAGGCCTCATGCTGATGGTAATGACTTTGATTAAGGAACACCTCTCATTCTTCACTCACTCAACAGATCTTTGAGTGACTACATTTTACTGGGAGCTGGGAGTCTGGACTCAGAAGCCAGCACAGGAGGAGACAGTTCAGTTTTGTTGAGTACAGACGAATTGAATTGGGAAAGTCTGCTGTCAGAGACCTCTCCAAAGTACCGAAGAGAAACGATGTCAGTCTGGAGACTAAGGTTCACCTGATACACGCCATGATCTTTGCAATCCCTTGCTGTGCATTAGAGAGCTGGACAATGACTAGGAATAGTAGGAGGAGAATTGATGCCTTTGAACTGTGGTGCTAGAGAAGAAGAGTATTGAATATATGGACTGCTAGGAGAACAAACAAGTTCATCCTGGAGAGGGTGAAGCAAGGTTACTCCTTGGAGGCAGGGTTTTGAAGTTTCATCTGACATACTTTGGGCATGTTGCAAGGCAGGATCAGTCCTTGGAGAGGGACAGCGTAGGAGAGGAAGACCCTCGATGAGATGAATTGATTCAGTGACTGGGGTAAGGGGGATAGGTGTGTCGGAGACAGTAAGATTGGCAAGGGATGGAGTAGGGTTTAAGGGGTGTTGTAAATCGGGTTGCTGTGAGTCGTAGATGACTCAACATAGAAACAACAACTGTTGAGTTGGAACCCATCCCTAGCCCAGCAGGTTTTCAGAGGCAGTATAATCAGATTGGAAGAGATTGCCCATCTTTGCCCTTCAGATAAGCTGGTGTATTTGACTCTCACTCTAATTGCAGTGCAGCTTCTTACTGCTAAGTCACCAGTGCTCCTTGCCCAGTGACTATTTCCAGCTTGCACTCCTGTGCCCAGAACTGACCTCTATAGAGATGGCCAGTCATTGAATTTTAGGAAGACATCCACACACATCTTAAAGAGGTTACTGTGAAGAGGCATGGTCACTTCACAAGTGTAGATAGATTTTTAGCTCTTGGCCTCTCTCAGGGTTTAGGTGTCCCATGGTGGTCTCAGACTCTCATTCTCCGTTAAATCAGTGATTCTTAGTCCTGGCTCTGCATTAGATTTTAAGTTAAAACCTGGCGCCATTGCTTCCAGGAGTCATGGTGGTACAAGGGTAACACCTGATTGGTAACTGAGAGGATGGAAACTGAAACCCACCAGCTTGCTCCTTTGCAATCTGCTCCCATAAAGATTACCCTAGAAAATCCAGTAGACATTCCCCCCCCCCCCCATCTCATGGAATTACTGTGAATTGGAATTGATTTAATGACACCTATTAATAACTGGTGTTTCATCCCAGACGAATGAAATCATAATCTTTCGGAATGGACCTCAGTCATCAATTTTTGTTTTAAGCTTTCTGCATGATTAAGGAAGTTCTGACGATGGGATAGTCCTTTGAGGAATTGTGGTACAAACTCAAAGGCCTCCTCTCTTTGGTGGTTTGAATCCACCAGCAGCTTCTTTGGACAAAGATGGGCAGGCTCCTCTCTTGGGATCTGCAGCCTCAGAAACAATGGGGGGTCAGTTATGAGTCTCTTCCAACTCTGTGGCAGAGAGTTTGAGGTTTTATTGGAAAGATGATTCTGGTGTGCAGCCAAGACTGAGAAATACTGTAACAAGAAACTGCTAAAATGCAGGTGTCAGTAGGAGGGAGATTTGAACTCTTAATACCAGTTCAGTCATACCCAGAGATAATTGTGAGTTTGGTCCCAGATCATTTCAGTAAAGCAAATATTACAATAAAGTGAGTTATGCAATTTTGTTTCCCAGTGCATATAAAAGTTGTGTTTATACTATACTTTGATCTATTAAATGTGCAGTAGATGAGAAAGTTTAAAATATTGTGAGAATTACCAAAACGTGAGACAAAAAGCGAGCACATGCTGTTGGAGAAAATAATGTCTGTAGATTTGCTCTATGCAGGGTACCATAAACCTTCAATTTGTAAAACATATAATATTTGTGAAGTGTGCAGTAAAAAGAAGTACGCCTGTACAATTGGCAGTTTGATTTATTTTGTCCCAGAATAGCATTGTGATGAAACTATACATTTGGTTTACCTTTTCATTTCCTCTTTATATCTGTAGCATCATTCCTGATAGAACTCCAAGAATGATTATATTTAAAGCCCATCCCATTTGGTGGCTACTTTATGTTATCGTTAGACTAGGCTGCTCTGCTTCTACCAATAGGGAATGTTTTCATTATTGCCTTAACAACACGGGTGGGGAGGAATTGACCCTGTTTTAGCGGTAAGGAAGCCTCAGCTCAGAGAGGTTATGTTCCCTGTGCTATGTCACACAGCCAGTGAGTGGTGGAGCGGGATTGGAAAGCATGTGTCCATTTCCAGAGGCCACATTTTTTCAACCATAAGCTGCTGCTCTGATTCTGTTAGGCCAGTTTGAACCTAGCTCCATGACCCAGACGGGCAGCACGTGTCACAGGACGGCAGTAGGGATACAGTAGGCACATGACAGAAGTGGGTTGAACTAGTAAAAAGCAGAATGATTGAAAATGCCATGATTTTACGTGTGTGTGTGTGTGTGTGTGTGTTTAGAGGTTTGAGTAAAATCCACTTACTTTTTAATATGAGGGAAACAAATAGTTTCACTACTGTAAGAAAGGAAAAAAGTAGAATAAGAGGGGAGAAATTTAGCAGTGATTATCTCAAGTTCTGAGAGTGGTTTCCGTAATGGAGTCTCAGGGTTTTATGCTTATGAGCTACATAATTTAACTTAGCATCTTATTATTATTTTTTTTAAATTGTGTGTGTGTGTACTGTCAAATTACCTCTGACTGGTACAGGAGGAGCATCTGGTGGATTTGAACTGCGAACCTCTAGGATTGAGCATCTTATTTCTTTTGTTTAGTTACAGTGGACCACAGAATAACCAGTCAGTGCTTGGATTTTTAACCATGTGCAGCTGAGATTTTCTGCCAAGAATCAGTCTTTTACTTCTTTATATAATTTACTGATGTAAGACCAGTATTTGATAAAAGTATTTGACACTTTAGTACATAGCTTCCAGGAAACCTTCCATTGTTGCTATGAGGTACCATTGAGTTGACAACTGTGAGTAATGTCCCTGTGAACAACAGATTGGAACTCTGTCCTGTCCTCTGCCATCATCAACATCTCCCGCGTACTCGAGTCCACTCTTAACTCAGCGTGTCATAGGATCTCACTGAAGATGGTCCTCCTTCTCTGACCCTTTATCTTTCCTAGCTCAGAGTCCCTCTCCAGTGTTGACACACCCAAAGTGTGGGGCAGTTTCATCCTCTCTGTATCTAAGGAGCACCCTGGTTGCACTTCCTCCAAGGTAGATGTGTTTGTTCTTCTGGAATTCCATAGAATTATTCAGTACTTTGTGTCAGAAGGAATGTTTCTTGGTTTGAAAAGATGAGAAACACCACAGAGGAGCTGACAAAATGAGCCTCAGAAAAGTTTAATGTACAAAAGGGCAAAACTCAGAGAATCCTTTAAGTTCTAACTTCCCTTTGCTTGAAAATTTGACACCTTGAGGATTGGCTTTAATTGAGGATGCATTTTGTTGAATTAAACGCTGTTCTATAATTTTCAGCCTCACTCTTAGCTCTTGAGTGCTGGATTGATGCCTCTTACTCTTTTAACATCAGGCCAGGGATGAGGGGGGGTGACCTTTACTCTTGGTTTCCTTTTATTCCTTCTAGCACATGCCTCCTTGCTTGGACATCCTTAGTGTAAAACTAATCCTAGTTTAGATCACAAAACTCATTTAAGAAAATGTAATCCAGTTTTGTTTAAAGAATGTTTTCCAGAATAAATATGTATATAAAAATTTTTTAAAAATTAGTTTGACTCTGGAAATTATCTGTGGTAAACAATGCAATTCACAGGACAGTGATCAGTTACCAATTTATGGATGCAGGCTTCCCTTTTTATAGGTTTGGAAGGTGAGCTGGGTAAAACTGCTTGTTAGTCCACAAGTAGCTCATGGGAGACTCGTTGCCAGTTTCTGGCTGACGGTGGCTTTGCTGCTGGGCCTCTTCTGTCTCAGGCAGGCATGTTGATGGAACCCTTTGGGAGTGTGTGCTTATTTTTAAACAGCACTGTTCTGGTTTCTAATGTTTAAACTTGGAAATGTAGAAGATAGAAAAAGACCATGTGTGTATTTCTAGAACAATTAATGTAACATTCTCTTTGCTTTTGAACATATGCTAATGTTAATGCGAAGATCCTATGACACGATGAACGTGGGTTTCCGTCAGTGGCATAAAACTAATACATATGCTTTCCTCCTTCTGTTCCATCAGGACAGAGCTTGGGATACGGCTTCGTGAACTACATCGACCCTAAGGATGCAGAGAAAGCTATCAACACACTGAATGGATTGAGACTCCAAACCAAGACAATAAAAGTATGTTTAACGTTCAGATTTTTTTTATTTTAGGTCAACTTTCAGAACTGATTGGGGAAAAAAAATATCCTTTATTCATTTTTTACCCATGTAGACACTTCTTTAGGAGGTTTGACAAACTTTCATACTATTTGCATGACCAGACCCTTTTTTATGCATGTGTTCTGTATATAATCATGCTATAATGCTTGCAGGTTTCAATTGCTCACTTTTCTTTTTTTAAAAAATTTTATTATTTTTTTGCATGTACCATCAAATCGGATCTGACTGGTACAGGAGGAGATTGCCCCTCCTTCTCCAGCAGTGCATCTAGTGGATTTGATCTGCATACCTTTGGGATTGCAGTGCAGCTTCTTGCCACTAGACTATCAGAGCTCCCTATCAACTTCTGACTCTTAACAGAAAATGACTTGCTCTGAAGTGTGAGGGGACTTTAAAGCCATCTTTGTAGCACAGAGGCTGGCAAATTGTCTGCTAAAGGGCATACTGTCAGTATTTTAGGTTTTAGATGCCATATGGTCTCTTTAGCTCTGCCCTTGTAGCATAGAGGCAGTCGACATATACACAAATGAGTGTGGCTGTGTAAATCTTTATGGGCACTGAAATATGAGTTTCATATAATGCTCTCATGTTATGAAATAGTATTCTTTGAATATATGCTCAAGCCATTTAAAAATGTAGAAACTATTGTAAGCTTATGGGGTTTGATGTGACACGCTTCTAGCACATTCAGCTTACTTTGAGGGAAGAGATCTATATTTGTTCCCATTCCAAAGAAGGGTGACCCAACAGAGTGTGGAAACTATAGAGCAATATTGATATCACATGCAAGCAAGATTCTACTGAAGATTATCCAAAAACAACTGGAACAGTACATCAGCAGAGAACTGCTGGAAGTCCAGGCTGGGTTTAGAAGGGGTCATGGTCCTAGGGATATTGTAGCTGATATTAGATGGATCTTAGCTGAAAGCAGAGAATACCAGAAGAATGTCTGTGTTTCATTGATTATGCAAAGGCGTTTGACTGTGTGGATCATAACAAACTGTGGCTAACTCTGAGAAGAATGGGAATCCCAGAACATTTGATTATTCTAATGCGAAACCTATACTTGGGCAAAGAGGCAGTCGTCAGAACAGAGCAGGGAAACAACGCATGGTTCAAAATTGGGAAAGGTGTATGCCAGGGATGTGTCCTATCTCCATACCTTTTCAACCTGTATGCAGAGCAGATTATAGGCTGGGCTCTATGAGGAGAAGTGTGGCATCAGGATTGGCGGAAGATCTATTAACAATCTGCATTATGCAGATGACACAACCCTGTTTGCTAAAACTAAGGAGGACTTGAAATGCTTGTTGCAGAGGGTCAATGACTGCAGCCTTCAGTATGGATTGAAGCTCAGTGTCAAGAAGACAAAGATTCTCACCACTGGACCAATTAGCAGCTTCAGAATGGATGGTGAAGAGATTGAGATTGTTAACTTTAATCTGCTCGGCTCTACGGTCAGCATCTTGGCACCAGTAGCCAGGAAATAAAAAAAACCGTATTGGGATGGGAAAGTCTACTGTTAGGGACCTCTCTAGGGTACTGAAGAGCAGTGGTGTCACTCTGGAGACTAAGGTGTGCCTGATATAGGCTATGGTCTTTGCAATCACTTGTTATACATAAGAGTGTTGGACAGTGACTAGGGAGGATAGAAGGAGAATTGATGCCTTTACACTGTGGTGCTGGAGAAGAGTATTGAATGTACCATGGACTGCCAAGAAAACAGATTCATCCTGGAGAGGGTTAAACCAGGCTGCTCCTTAGAGGCAAGGATTCTGGGGCTTTGTCTGACGTAATTTGGGCATGTTGTAAGGAGGGACAGGTCCTTGGAGAGGGACATCATGCTTGGGAGGGTGGAGGGACGGCTCAGAAGGGGAAGACCCTCTATGAGGTGGATTGATTCAGTGACTGGGGTAATCGGGATGGGTGTGTCAGAGGCCATGCGATTGGCACAGGATAGAGCAGGATTTAGGGTTGTTGTACATAGGCTTGCTATGAGTCGCAGGCGACTCGACGGCATATAACAACAGTAAATGTAAGAAATTTTTTCACAAGTTATTTTTCTTGTCATTTTTTTTCTCAGGAGGTAAGATAAATACTTTTGTGGGTACCATTTTCTTTTTGTGAATTTTTGAAGAGAGTAGATTTTCTCTGTGTAAGAAGTTAATCTGATCTGAAGTATGGATTTCTCTCTTTTAGACAATGAAAGGGATGTTGCCTCTAGCAAACTCTGAGTACCTGTGCCATCAATTTATCTTCTTCTGTCCACTGTAGACATTGCCAGTCAATCAGGACACTTTTTCTCACTGAGTCTAGATGTTGTTCTCAAATATTTTTCAGAACAGTGTTCCTGGCAGCCTCTATCGATTGACTCAAGTTGAAGCCCATTTTCCACCGTTGATTTAAGCAGCCAGCCCAGACTCCAGCCTGAGGTGGTGAGATGAAGTTAGTCAAGGCTGACCATGGCATCCATCTTGCTTAGAGGCTTGTCTAGAAGATTTCGGCTCATTTTTTCGTGTATCTGGAAATGCAGTGTCATCTTTGTGCTTAAAAGTGGCTTCTCTCAGAATTGTCAGTTTAGGTTATTCGTATGCCCTGCTTAGCTTTGACATCTCATTCTTGATATTTATTGGCCCATAAGAAAAAAAATGCCTGCCAGCTCTGTCTCCTCTGAACAAAACTCTGCACAGCGGCTCCAAATAGACTTGGATGTAAGGTGATCAACCTGGCTTCTTAGTGACAGGATTCACCCTTCAGCTAGAAAGTGAACTGACTGCTATACAAATAGGGGGACAAATACTAGAAGTCTTTTTCAGTCAAGATAAGTTTTTCTAATTGTTTACACTTTTCTGTACAGTTTTTTATTGTATACCAGAAATTACTCTTCTAATCACTCACTCATTGCTGTTGTATCAGAACTGACTCAAAGCTGCGAGTTTTCAGAGGATCACATAGGAGGAGATTGCCTGTATTTCTCCCATGAAACAGCTGGTAGATGTCAATCAGCTACATGGACTTCATCATCAGAGCTCCCTAACCTGTTAAAACAGTGCCACTAAGAGATACACAAGTGGTTTTTGAAAACAGACATTTAATTTCCAGTTATCTGTTTTGTTTAGTAACTTGTTTGTACCATCTTCTGAAGGCATTTGTGGGCTTCTCCCTGTTTTACAGTTTAAATTGATTTCCAGAATTACTGTTCATATGTCTTCATTTTAAGACCCGGAGTTGGGCCTAGACATGGAACTGAATAGCTGGTTGAAATGGTTCAACCCGGGAAATGCCCATTTCTCATTGCTAAAACAACATTCCTTATTTCACTTGAGCGAGCCAGTTCTTGTGCGATATGTCCTGACTAGAGGTAAAGTCCGGAGAAAGATAGAAAAGCAGAAGACGGAGGGTCACTATCGGAGACGTGTCCACGGCCAGCAGGGAGGTCACAGATGACAGCTGTTTGCTCACTGCCCTTCACCAGCCTTCGCTCCTCAGAGCCCAGCTGCTCCGGCTGTATACGTGGAAGAAAGGACAGTAATGCCTTGTGGCTTTCACACTGTGACATCTGCTACTTCTCATCTGATTTTCTGAAGTGGGGGTGGGCGTGGTGGGTAAGCAGCAGGCTACTTCTTTCCTCACCCCCATTTGGTTCCTGTAAAAATATCAGATAGCAGCTGCTATCCTCCATTTGGCCCAGACTTCGCAGAGAGGCAAAAAGCTGACCATTTTCCAAAGCACCACTTTTTTCCCCCCTCTCTGTTCTTTGTATACTTGTTTTCTACTTATTTTCTATTAGACATGTGTTGGTTGCTAGGCTTTTCTCTTGTTTATTGCTTTGAGTACCTTTTGGGAGCTGCATGTAAGCCTTTAAGGGCCCCGGGATGCTGCTCCATAAATCAGTCTCTTTTGCTCTCTTCTAGTCCCTCCTTGTGATGGCAGTTAGTAACACTGTGGTGTTTGTGTTACTTTTCACTCAAAACCCTAGTGTTTCCCCCCTTGTTATTACCATATAACTTAAATATTAAATGTTTTTGAGGAATGACTTCACCGTTTCCTCAATTTACTATTTTTTTCTGAATTCACTCTTACTAGCCTGGCTGCTTCATTTGCAAGGTGATGCCCAGCCCTTGATGTACCGTATGTGCTAGTAGCTCCCACTTCCTGGCAAATCCCATCTCCTTGTTGTCTTTTTATTTGTCTTTTTGGTGACAGTTTAAACACACCAGTTAAGATTTTCATTCAGTAATTTATATATCGTAGTTTATTTGGTGATAATGATACTTTTCATAATGTATGAATATTCTTTTTTTTTTCACTCTGGCCATTCCATATCCATTAATTGAGCTTTCCGCTTTCCTTATTTTCCCATATTTGTTTTAAAGGTAATTTTCTCCAGTTGATTTCTGGTAGATTATTTTTAAAAGGAATACAGTCCTGATAGGTGATACTCTTTGTTTTGAACCAGTGTGTTATTTAAGCCCAAGGTGAAGAAACCAGGTTCATTTTAGTTATGTTTGAAGAATAGTGCAAGTGCGTAGTTTCAGAGTCCTCACGTCTCAACCAGTCCTGGAGGTGCAGTAGTTAAGCACTTGCTAAGAGAAAGTTTGAACCTCTTACGTGCTCCCTGAGACAGCTGTGGCTGTCTGCTTCTGGAAACATCAGCATTTTGGGAACGGGATGGTGCGGTTCTTAGGAACCTTGGTGGTGTAATGGTTAAGCACTCAGCTGCCATTCTTTTGTCTTGCAGGTTTGCCATGAGTTGGCATTTTCTTGGTAGTAATGGATTTATTTTATTTTAACCAAAAGATTAGTAGTTCAGCACTAACCAGCAGCACTATAGAAACAGGTCTGACAGTCTGAAAATAGACCAGTAGATCTGTTGTTTTTTTCTTTTTAATTTGTTTGGTTTTTTAAAAAGGAATTTGAGGTCCTGCTTCACATTTTTCTTCTGTTCTTTTGGGGTC